TTCACTCCGTGTGTGTGTGTGTGTGTGTGTGTGTGCGCGTGTGTTTCCGCCTGGGTCAGCCCACCTTGTCTTCAGGTGCGGCGGTTCAGCATCACTTGGGCCAGGTGCCAAACGCTGGATTTGGGCCTTCTCTTCGGGAAGGGCGGTGGCCACAGGTCCCTCAACCAGACTCCAACTGTGGTTTTGTGCCGCCGAGCCGGCTCTGAGTCCTAGCGATGGCTGGGCACCACCGGAGGAAAGCCTGCTCGGCCTGGCGCGGTGGCTCTGACGTCGGAGGGCGCGGTGACAGCCTCCCGTCATCATCTCAGCGGCAGGCTCCTCCTCGCAGAGGCTCTCACACCCGGCCCTGGGCAGGCGGCCCCTGCGCCCTGTGACCCGCGATCCGGAAGCGGCCCCTGGCGAGCCACGGGGTTGGGGTCAGGTGACGCCGCGGAGGCCGAGCTGGCGGGCCATGGCCCCGGGGCTGCCCCACCGGGCGCTCCCGCTGCTGCTGCTGCTGCTGCCGCCGCCGCCCGCGCGCCCCGCCGGCCGCCCCTACGCGCCCACCTGGGAGTCGCTGGACGCGCGGCCGCTCCCGCGCTGGTTCGACGAGGCCAAGTTGGGCGTCTTCCTCCACTGGGGCGTGTTCTCCGTGCCCGCGTTCGGCAGCGAGTGGTTCTGGTGAGCGCGGCCGGGCGGGTCCCTCGGCCGGGCGCCCCGCCCCTTCGGCTTGGTAAGGTAGAGCGGGTCAGCGGAAAAATAGGCAGCGCTTCCAGGAGATGGATTGGCACAGTGGCTACAATAATGGGCCCAACCAGAAATAGTGTGAGCATGGCGCCGGCCCCGGCTGTGTTTGTTCTGTTGTGCTTGGGGGTTGCTATGAGTTAGAATGGACTCCTGGGGATGACGACAAGGCATGACGACAAGGCCGGCGACAGGCACTCTTTCAGGGCAAGTCAACCTAAGGGATAAATCTAGGCAGTAATTGAGCAGGGGCTGGCACAGCAGGCTGGTGCAGCGCTGTGCTGTTCACACGCATGCCCTTTCCACCCCATAGGTGGTACTGGCAAGGGGAAAAGAAACCGGAGTTTGTGCAATTTATGAAGCAATATTACCCTCCTGATTTCAAATACGAAGATTTTGGACCACAGTTTACAGCACGCTTTTTTAATGCCAGCCAGTGGGCGGATCTTATTCAGGCTTCCGGCGCAAAGTACATGGTCCTAACCAGCAAACATCATGAAGGTAAGTGAGGCGAACGTTGCCCCTGCTTAGGAAACGTGCGGTCGTTCTTACAGGAGAAGAAACCAATAGCAAGCCATCTCTATGGAATCCGATTTCCTGCTTAGGCGCATCCAGAAACGCTACGGACACCTGCTGATAAACGAGGGGACTCCACGTTCCACCCAAGTGGAGAGGCATGTAGAAAAATCACCCCTCTGGGAAACAGGAAAAATGGCCCCACTCTGGTGCGTGTACCTTTAACAAGATTCCCAGGATTGGATGAAAGCACTTAGGGTGTGACTCAGATCACAAGTCAAAGTGTTGGCCAACTGCGGAGGAGCTGTAAGTGACGAGAGCGACTCAGCTCGCCTTCAGAAGAGATTGGGTTGAGAATGGTGCCCTGGCACATCAGAGGTGGAGGAAGAGTAGCTGAGGGAAAAGAGGGCAGCGGCAGTGTGAGAAGAGATGCCACTGGCTACTGTTCTCTTGTCTATAAAACTGGAGAAAGACCCACCCACGGATACTGCCCATTGCATGTAAAATCATTAGTGGGCTTCTTGTGGGTGGCCATCATGGCCTCGGTATTGAAGAGTCTGCCTCACTCCTTTATCCAGGGCCTGGGATATAGGATATGAAAACCATGGGATGGAGTTCTGAGATGATTTTTCTCCTTGGCTGCCTTTTGGGCACTCCACAGTGGTCCCCTCCGCCTCCCCCAGCCCCACTTGGCATTTTTCCTGCAGACACAGATATTTACAAAATATAATTGCTTGTGACTATCTTGGTTTTCTGATGGCTAGGAACTTCCCTAACTGTGTAGCACAATGTATTCCTTCAACAACAACAACAACTCCCAGCCACTGAGTCAATTCTGACTCTTATAGACCCTATACTATGGGGTAGAACTGGCCTCTTGGGGTTTTTGAGGCTGTAAATCTTTACAGGAGCAGAAACCTCATCTTTCTCCCTAGGAGCAGTTGGTGAGTTAGAACTGCTGATCTTGCAGTTAGTAGACCAAGATGTAACCCCCTACACCGCCAGGGTTGGTTCCTAAGCATTACAGAAGGATGAGTTTTGTTCTTGTTTTCAAAGTAAGCTCACTAAATATTGTTTGTTGAATATTTCTAAGTATTAGTAAGCTTATTTAGAAACACAAACAAGCCAAAACCAAATTCATCATACAGAAGACTCAGCCCACATTTATAAAATTCTCAGCCCCATGTTATCAAATGTTTTCATTGCTTCTATAAATTCACCCGCTGAAGTGTGAAGAGGGAAGGCCAATGTGTGTGCTGTACATGTGGCGAACACAGAATGGTGGCGACATGGTAAAGGCCCCAGTGGTTTTACTGCCTTAGACAGGATCTGCTAACATGGAAAATCTTATATTGACATATTGAGGTATTTATACTGCTTTGAAAATTACTATGAATATCTTTGCAACTGTTTGAAAAGTTTGTTGTAAAGAATCTAGAGAGTGAGTCGATCTTGTCCCAGTTTCAAAGACTAAAGTGTTTCACCAGAAGTACTTTATAAACACAAGAGCCATTGTACTCAGACACACTAAGGTTATTTGAGGCATTTGCAATATTTTAATTCATATGACCTCTTCTACTGTTTTTTTTTTTTCTACTGTTTTTATATAAAAAACCTGCAACCTAATGGCAAATTCCTTTTAAAATATGAATTGTTTCAAAAGAGTTGTATAGTGGCTTCCATTATTTTTCTTCTCCATCTAGGTGCTAGATAATTAATTCACTTTTCAGTAATTGAAAGATTGACACCCACGCATGTGGCTCTTGAGCAAGAGAGGAATGCAGTGGGTGTGTATGAAATTATAGAACGAGTAGGGATGGGCATCGTTAGATGAACAGTGAGAGTAAAGGGGAATTACTATACGTGGGTCATTAGTGCTTTCAGAACCACAATGCAGTAACACACACAATTCTAACAAAAACTGGAAGATGTGGTGGAATGATACGTGGTGGAGTTCTTCTACCCAAGTCTCTGTAACTCCCATCAAATGATTGGGGGAACTATGCAAATAGGCTATGTGGCACACTCATAGAGGGGGTTGGTCAGTTTTCAGTACCATCCCCCTGGCTATCAGGATGAGCCATCTTTGAGGGGGCAGTGGAGAGGGAAACCCGAGGACCTTGCAAGAGCACCTCCCAGATCTGACTGAAGGGGTGGAGGTCGCATCAGAGACGTAGCACTAAGACTCAGAGGAAGAGCACCAACACTAGGGGGTAGCGTCTCCTCAGCTGGCCCAAGACTGTGGGACTGTGAGGCAGAGTGACCCAGGGGCTGGCATCCTGGCCCATGGAAGCAAAGACCCAGGCTTTAAGAGACTTGGCTCCTGGCCAAGGAGAGATGTTGCTGTGGACCCCAATTATATCCTTACAGTTTGTGGATCCTGACTTGTGGTGACCTATTAACTTCCCCAATAAGCCCCCTTGACTGTGAATATTGCCTGTGAGTTTTGTGTGACCATTGCAATGAAATATCAGCCAGCCTAGAAGCAGAGGGCCATGGGAGGGCTAGGACGGGGCATGCACACTTAATTCTAGTTCCAATCTAAGAACAATTGGTTCTTATGATCTGGCTCTGCTTGATGCTTGCCCACATGAAGAGATCACTGAAGATATTGGTGCCATGGCAAAGTTTGGCGAGGAAACTAAATGGTATCTGGCTATCAGAAAGAGTAATGTCTGAGGTCTTAAAGGCTTGTCTTCAAACAAGCAGGCTTTTAAGTGAAGCACCAACTAGATCCACATGGAAGAAGGATACCAACTTGTGTGATCCAAGGCTTGTAAATAATAAAATCCAAGTCCAAAGGAAGGAATGGTATCAGAGCCTAAATTTTGAACACCTGGTTTGCAGAAGGCTATAGATGCCAGTGGAAGCCCAACATCCATTTGCAGGGTTCTGCATAAATTAATCCTCTGGTGAATCCCCTCTGATCATAGTGGAGGGATGAGAATAGCCTTGTTATCAGACAGAGAGCAATGTAAAGTTGATTATGGCAGATATATTTAGGTTAAAATGTATTATCATTTGATCTCCCTTTGGACCCATTTTAAAATTGTTTTGATCTTTGTTTTTAACAGTGAAGGGGGAAAAAGGGGGCAGGGAAATGAATTAATCCTCTGATCAAGCCTCTCTGGCCATAAGTCAGAGAGGTGAATAGCCGTGCTATATGCAAAATGCTTTGAAAAGTGGATTATTTCAGATGCAGTTGGGCTAAAATTTAATGCCTCATCATTTGATTTCTCCCTTTTGACCTATTTTACATTTGTCCTAGTTTTTAACATTTTCTGCTTTCTTTTTGACCATGGGTTTTCTCTATTATTGTTGTTTTTGTTTGTTTTCTGTATATGAAATCCAGGATAGATATATACTATCTGTCTATAAATCTATCGAGATAGTAACTGGAATAATGGTTTCTTGGGGGTATGGCAGAGGAGACTGGGGGGATGAGGGAGCTAATGACAATGAATGCAAGAAAGAAGAAAATGTTCTGAAATTGATTGTAGTAATGATTTGTACAATTCTTCATGACATGTGAATTATGTGCCAATAAAATTGTATATATACAAAAAGAAAACCTTGAAAGAAAGAAACAAGATGGAGCGTGGAAGCATGTCTGATCCCCGCCTGGTGGCATTAGGGAAGCCAGAGGTCCGCTGTGGTCCAGCAGGCCATGACTGCAGTGTCCTTTCGTGTCTGGTCTCCAAGGCTTTCGGAAGTATGCCACAGGACCATTATAAAGAGTAGCAACAGCCATCGTTCAGCCTGGCCAACGTGGCAAATGTCTTCTGTGGGCCAGCTCTTACCTGCTTCTGTGTTTGCCCCTGTGCTGGGAGGAGGCTGCAGACATGATGCAGTTCCTCAAGCAGCTTATCCTCTGAGAAGGGAAGTTGAGGCAACAGGTCCGATCCTAGAAATCGAAGGGTGTATCCTGAAAGTTAGTTAACAAACAAAAAAGAATCTCTGGTTCTATCTGTGGTAACCTCTCATTGTTTCTCGTATAGAAGTAGTATACACACTCTGGAAAAAAAAAACCCTACCATAAACTCATCATTTGTAGAATAAGTTCTTCATGTATTGCTGAGATCCCACCACGGCTCACCCCGTGGTGGTGCCGAAGAAAGGGCTGGTGGCCTGCTTCTGCAAAGAAAGCAGACGCTAGGGAGCAGGGGTGCTCTGTCTTGCGGGGCTGCCATGGGTCAGGACGGGCTGGGCGGCACTGGGTTGGGTTGGGTTTGCGCGTCATCTGACTTGTCCCGGCATTTGCAAGAGCGGAAGTCAACTACAGGAAAACGGATACGCGGATACATGTTTTCAATCCTCCTTTTCTCCAGGCTTCACCTTGTGGGGCTCAAAGTACTCGTGGAACTGGAACGCTGTCGATGAAGGGCCTGCGAGGGATATTGTCAAGGAACTCGCGGTGGCCATTAGGAGCAGGACTGACCTGCGCTTTGGGCTGTACTACTCCCTCTTCGAATGGTTCAACCCACTCTTCCTTGCGGACAAATCCAGTTCATTCCATACGCGGCAATTTCCAGTTTCTAAAACGTTGCCTGAACTCTATGAGCTAGTGAACACCTACCAGCCCGAGGTGCTGTGGGCGGATGGCGATGGAGGGGCCCCAGACTCCTACTGGAACAGCACCGGCTTCTTGGCCTGGCTGTACAATGAAAGGTGGGTATGCTATTAGATCATCGTGCTGACCTTGAACCTTCTCTTACACGTGTAACGCTTTCATCCCCTTGCTTGAAATACATCCGTCTCCCTCGTGGTAAGGGGCGTGAGAATCACTGCCTACAAGATAGGTTAGGGGGCTTCAAAAAGGTTGTGGAAAAATGGAATGAAAAGATAATAGACTTTTTCTATGAACTCTTAGAAGTCTCACTATCAAGATGAAATATCATCAAGAATAAATAAATCAGGAGTCAAATACAACACAACAGCCTAATTTTGAGAGCAGACTATTCACGACAGGATCAGGGACCTGGAAGATATGAATTTGATGGGTTCCTCTTTTCAGGTTCTATTTCTCCCCCTACTGCCTCTGTTCTGGCCTGTTATTGACCACTGTCATGCTGTGACATACTTTTCAGTTCCTCCAGCTGCTCTGTTTATCTGTTAAGCTGTGGTTAGGCCTTGTTTGTCTTCTCTTTTTCGTCACCATCAACATTCTCACTTCTTCTTGTTCCTTCTGTGGCATGTTCAGGGCTGACCCACTCACTACATAAGGGTGTTCTGGGTGTCTTCCTTAGGCTGAACTACATGGCCCAAATGGATAGCTAGAATGTACTTGATACTGTGCTATAAAAATCAGGGAATGATCTGCTTCTGCTTCATGGGCCCACAGTGGGTACCTATACTCTGGTGAGGTCTTGATTCTCAAAGGCCGCAGTATTCCCAGTTACTTCCGATAAGGGGAAGGACTGTGAGCAATCCACTTTTTTTTTTTTTCCCAAACAGCTTTATTTATAACATAAAGTTTTGCAGATCACTACATAAAAACAATGCTTTAGGATTAACTCCAAAATCACCCCTATTGTTTCCACTAAAACTTGATAAAACACCATTATAATGTTTTGGGTTTTTTTTTTAACATTTTATTAGGGGCTCATACAACTGTTATCCCAATCCATACACACATCAATTGTGTAAATTGCATTTGTACATCGTTTCTCAAAACATTTTCTCTCCACTTAAACCCCCGACATTAGGTCCTCATTTTTCCCCTCCCTCCCCACTCCCCCCTCCCTCATGAGCCCTTGATAGTTTATAAATGGGTATTTTGTCATATCTTGCCCTGTCCGACGTCTCCCTTCACCCACTTTTCAGTTGTCTGTCCCCCAGGGAGGAGGTCACACACAGTTCCATGTAATCGATTCCCTCTTTCCTACCCATTCTCCCTTTACCCTCCCTGTTTTGCCACTCACACCACTGGTCCTATAGGGCTCATCCATCCTGGATTCCCTGTATTTTCAGTTCCTATCTGTACCAGTGTACATCCTCTGGTCTAGCCAGACTGAACAATCCACTTTCATTCGTGAGCCAAATTGTCCCATCACTCCTTGCCAGGATAAAAAACCTTGTGGGGATATTTCATACCACAGTGGATTATATCATGGGATCACTACTGAGTAAAACCATTAGGACAGAAAAGCTAGAACATAATGTAGGAGATTGATTTAGTCCCTGGAGAAAAAAATACCTGAGTGCAAATCCATTTGGCTACTATTTACATTATAGCAGGGGAAAGTTTCAAACATGCCTCGTACTTTTTACAAGTGCTACAGATGCTGGGTACCAGACTAGATTTTATAGACATCATCCCTGTTTGAAATAGCAGATGAAGAAATGGGTTATTCAGAGGAATTAAGTCACTCATTTTGCCAACGAGCTAAGAATTGGGAGTGCCGGGATTTCGAACACTCTAGCTTTATTTAACTTCTTACCTGCAGAATTTCCACGACACTCAGCTGAGGTCATTTTTCAGGAGTGGATTGCAGTTAGAGCTCTTAGCAGTGATATTTTGATACTAAAAAATTGTTTTTTCCATTGAAAAAGTTCATTTTCATTTCAGCCCAGTTCGGGACACAGTGGTCACCAATGACCGTTGGGGAGATGGGACCATCTGTAAGCATGGTGGCTACTATACCTGTAGCGATCGCTACAACCCAGAACACATACTGCAGCATAAATGGGAAAACTGTATGACAATAGACAAGGTTTCCTGGGGCTATCGAAGGAATGCTGGGATCCTGGACTACATTACAATCGAAGAATTGGTAAAGGTACAGTCAGCACTCGGATGACTATTACTGGAATAGTGGTAGTCGTATGGACGTGGTGAATTATTAGGATTTGTATACCTCAATGGCCTATGGATCATGAGCATATTTTGTCCTTTTTGTTTGTTGTGCTAGATAGTGACTACCACGCATGTGTCAATAGGGCAGTACACTAGACTAATGCCACATTTTATCTATCTAAGAGCTATATATACTCATCATTTTAGCTACTTGTTGAAACAGTTTCATGTGGAGGAAATCTTTTGATGAATATTGGACCCACCGAAGATGGCACAATTTCACCAATTTTTGAGGAGCGATTAAGGCAAATGGGGGCCTGGCTAAATGTCAATGGAGAAGCCATTTATGGGACCCATCCTTGGAAATCCTCGAATGACACTGTGACTCCGGATGTATGGTAAGTCACTATCGAAACCAAACGATGTGCTAGAGGACGACATGTAACATTCCCTAGAGTTAGAAAGAGACGGAGAACAAGGGGACTGGGATGAGGGCCTGCCTACACAAAGTGCTGTCCAGACTTGACTTACTCTAATAGAAAAGAAAGGAAGGGAGGGACCTAGCATGTTTTTGAGGGTGTATGGTTTATCGTCACTAGACACCTCCCATTGTTGTGTGTTGTTGAGTTGATGCTGACTCATAGAGACCTAAAGGGCAGGGTAGAACTGTCCCCTAGGGGTTCCGAGGCTGGACTCTTTATGGAAGCCAGGTCTGTTCTCACTCAGAGCTATGGGTACATCCAAGCCACTGACCTTTCACCATTAACCACTGTGCCATCAAGGCTCCTAGGAACCTAATGGTGGGTAAATTCTGATTACAAACAGTCAACTCTCACACTGCACACAAAACCAATTCAAGATGATCATGACCGAAATGTAAAACCTAAAACTCTATAAAGACTATCAAGGAAAAAACCAGACAAACTTAAGGCTCCTCAAAATGGCATAAATACACTATCAATCGAAAATGCAAATGCACAAAGAACAGAAGACAAACTAGATGATTGGGGACTCCAAAAAATTAGATACTTACACACATCACAATATTTCACCAAAAAAGTGCAAAAAGTGAACCAATCTACAGACCGGGAAATTAAAATTTTTTATTTAGTTGGCTCTTTTGATTTTATTTTCTTCTTCCTTTTTTAAAAAAGACTAATTGGCATATACTTCATATATCATACAATTTATCGCTTAGTCATATTAGGAAGAGTTGTGCAATCATCACCACCATCATCAATTTCAGAACATTTTCTTTTCATCATTGCTATCAGCTCCTTATCTACCCCCAAGCTCTCCTGCCACGGCCCTGGGTAATCATTAATCCAGTTACTGTCTCTATAGAGCTACTATCCTGAATTTAATAGACAGAAAAGCATACAAAACACAAACAGGAAGCAAAATAAAAAAAGTAACAACTATGACTAGGCAAAAGAGAAAAATCTCAATAGAAAAGAAAGTAGAAAATATTAAAAATTGAAAAAAACTTTAAAATGGGCCAAAAGGGAGATCAAATAATAAATCATCATATTGTAGCCTAACTACATCTACCATAATTGACTTTACAGTGCTCTCTGTCTAGTTGCAAGGCTATGCACATCTTTCCATTAGGCCAGAGCGTATTCACTGGAGACTTAATCCATGTAGGGACCCAGCAGGTGGATTTTGGGCTTCCACTGTTACCCATAGCCTTTTGCAAACGAGGGGTTCGTAATTTAAACATCCCTTCTTTGGATTTGGATTTTATTATTTACAATCCTTGGATCACAGAGGCTGGAATGATTCTTCCATGTGGCCTTAGTTGATGCCTTACTTAGATGGCTGCTTGTTTAAAAACAAGCCTTTAGGACCCTAGATACTATTTTTTTCTGATAGGCACCTCCTTGTTGCTTCACCACACTTTACTATAGCACCTGTATCTTCAATGATCACTTCATGGGGGTGAGTATTAAGTGGGGCCATCAGACTGGGGAAAATCTTGGACAATGATATATTATTGACTGTGGCAGTTACTAATCTGTCAACTTGAGTGAAGGGGTGGAATCTAACTTGTCAGTCAGGTCATAGCCAATGAGGCCTCTGTGTGGGCATGGCCTTCTCCTGAGGATTCTGGGAACTCCGGTCATCCTCCCTGGAGGTGGAACACACATTCTCTCTGCTTCATCTTCCTGTTGACATAACACATGGAGATCTGCTGATGGCACCCAGAGCCCTGCAGTTGAGGGAACCATGTGGAGACCCAAGCCAGCAATGAGATGCTTCCATGGCCACTGGATCTGCAAGACTTTCTACTCACTATCCTGTGATCTTCCTGCATTCAGCATCATTGCATGTGTTACATGAGTCTGAAGAGGAATTTATAAACAGGTATCAGACATATAGGCTAATATCGGACTTAAAGACTTGATCTGGACTGGACTGGGATGTTTTCTTAATATGCAATTACTCTTTGATATAAAGTTCTCTCTTATACACATGAGTGTCTCTGGGTTTGTTTCGTTAGTCAACCCAGACTAACACAATGACAAAGAATTAATCTTTAAAATTTATGGAAAAAATGTCAACACCTCAACAACAAAAGGACATATAATCCATTTAAATGTCCAGAGTCACAAAGAGATCACTGGAGATATGGGTGCTAAGTGAGGTGTCAATATGCTTGAATGATTAAATTGTATGATGTGTGGAGTATATGCCAATAAAACGATTTTAAAAAACAGGCTAATGAGGAGCTCTGGAGTTGTAGTACTTATGTGCTGGGCTGTTAACTATAAGGAACCCAACTGATGCTCTGGTGGAGAACGGTGAGGTGTTGGTCTCTTGTAAAGAGCTTAGTGTCTCAGAAACCCACAGCGGCATGTGTACCCTGTCCTGTGAGGTCACTCTGAATTGGCATCAACTCCAGGGCAATGAGTTGTGTGTTTGGTTTTTTTTTTTTTTAAATAACTAATGACGCTACAGGTTTGGGACTACATTTCTCCCATGTTAGAATAATCATCCTTTAAAATGGGAAAGGCAGCATTTACCCCAGGTGTGTTAGACAGGGTTCTCTAGAGAGATAAAACCAGGGTATTACAATGTGTGAGGAAAGGAGGACTGCAGACAGGAAACAGAGGGAGAAAGTGGGATCAGTGATGGTCCATTGAGGGATGGCAAAGGATGAGCTGAAACAAAATGTGTTTGGAGTGTTGAAGGTACTGATGTGCCCTGTGAAATGTCACCTAATGCATAATCCTAAGTTTTAAAAGTTATTCTCGAGTAGGTCTAAAAAGAAATAAATTTAAAAAAATCATCTCTTTTAAGAGCTTCCTCTTAATATTTGGGAGGTGGGGAAGGGAGGTGTTTTTTAGGTCACTAAAGTTTAATTTTCTTTCCTTTCTTTTAATGAAGACTTTGGTAAATGGACCACTGTAACATAATTGAAGACTTGGCCCTCACAGAAGTAAT